GGTTATCTACACTGAGTGAGAAGCGAACATGAGATGACCGCAGCGATGCAAAACGGTAAGTAGACGACGATGCTTGCGTAACACTCACCACTGTGCCAGTGGCCGACGTCGTTGCCGTCCTTCAGTCACCTTTGCACCGCACACCGCACACCACACCGCTTCCGAGAGTGTTTCTGTATGTGTATGTGTGTGTGTGTGAACCAGGTCAATCACACGTGTCAACTGTTGTTCGGCCGCAAAACGTGACACGACGCCGAACGAGTTTATTTCTATTCTTCGTGCGAGTTATTGAGGTCGGTCAGGTGGTCGAGGGTTGCACGTGCCAGCACGATGGCGGATTTCGCTCCTGCCCTGCGATGTCGGTGCCAGTCGCCCGACCCCCCGCTTATCGTTGCTTTCAGTTTCGCTGACCAAAACTCGACGTTTCCGACCCGACCGGATTTTGGCCAACTGCTTCGCCGGACGAATGTGTCTCCATCCGACCGCACCTGTTTCGAGTGCGCTTCCTCTCTCGATGCTGCCTCGGCGAACATCTACAAGATTTTCATAGAGAATACTTACTAAACACGCACTCTATCTACTTAGAGTAACCTTTGCCTTTTTTACTTTCACGCCATCAACCCAAGGAACTTTTATCTAGGTTAAGACTTTAAACCTGTGATGATTATTCGGTGAGGTTCAGGTAGTCAAAGCTAGTCGAAACATGATCATGATAGACAGATGATGCTGAACTGCTAACTTCCACCGCTACAAATGATTCTACTAGAAACAGAAAAGCGCAGCAGTAAAGACGATAGGGCATGCAAGACGAAGCAGGAACACTAGCAAACACACCACGGATACAACGGCAATCTGTTAAATATCTAAGGAAATTCTAACACTAGTTGCAGACAACGAGTGTTCTGGCATAGTGGACGAAATGGATGCATTTTACCGAAGAACCACGTTGTACCAAACTCCACAGAGTTAGTAGAAGTTACACATTAAGTGCAGGAAATTACACAATTCCTTTGTCAGACTTTTCGGTGCTCCATCTTCTCCGCTCTCTGTCTCCATCGTTGGCTGAGTAATTTGAATTTCGATTCGTCACAGCGTCCTCTTGGACGATCGAGCGGACGTCTGTGATTGTTGGAACTCAATTTTTAGTTCATGATTTCCGACTTC